AGGATGTGGATCTAAAAGTCCATATTCAGGTACATCATGAATCGAGGTGTCTAAATTTAGATGTAGACTCTTAAGTTTAAAAGTATTGACTCCCTCACAGCTGAAGTTCCTTGAGGTTATACTGCACTTAGACGATCTTCCAGCTGCCATCTTAGGTATATCTATGTAGGTACTTCTATGGGCCCCACCTTCATAGTATCTGAGCACCTCACAATTTTTAATTATAATTATTATTATTTTTTTTAATTAATGGAGATATCCCATCTCCTAGAACTGGAAGGGACCTTGAAAGGTCATTGAGTCCAGTCCAGTCCAGTCCAGTCCAGTCCAGCCCCCTGCCTTCACTAGCAGGACCAAGTACTGATTTTGCCCCAGATCCCCAAGTGGCCCCCTCAAGGATTGAACTCACAACCCTGGGTTTAGCAGGTCAATGCTCAACCCACTGAGCTATCCCTCCCCCTAATAATACAGCGAGCAGACCTATAAGGTAGGGAAATACTGTCCCATGGTACACATGGGGAATAGAGTCCCAGAGAGGCTAAGTGACTTGCCCACAGCGTGATGAATTGGGGCTGTATCTGGTCAACTGATGAATTCTGATTGATATTGGGAAATCTGCTCTGTCATGAATGCCTACATGTATGAGGATCCGCTGTTGTTTCCAGGTCCTGTAGCAGATACACCCCAGACCAACACAATGGGAAATAGTTAAGGTTAATGACAGCACTTAACCCTTACAAAAGGTTATGCTAAAAAAGCAGCTGTATCCTTAGAAAAATGAGCGTAGCATACTCCCCTGAAGGGTGGGGGAAAAGGTAGGAGCAGTGGAAAGTTACCAGGAGGAGACCAGAAAAGGCCAGGAGACCAGGAGGGTTTAAATAAACAAACACACAGGAACAGGGGCCAGACAGGAAGAGCTAGTGAGAGGAGCAGGAGAGAGCAAGAGCAGAAGCTGGGCAGGGGCTCCGTGAGGGAGAGAAAGACCAGCTAGCATGCCACATCCTGCCTTCCTGGGCCCAGATGTTCCCCCCAGGACTCACAGGGGAAGGGTGAGCTGCAAAGGGAGGGCCACTGTGGTTTCAGATGTGTATTATTTTGTATGAGCTGTACTCTGATGAGCTTTACAGAACGAAGGATAAAAGAGCAGAAAGGCGGTAGACTGTGCAAAGCGTGCGCACGTTGACTGCGTCATAGCTACCGCGCGCCCTTATGAGAGTTAAACAGTAAGCCATATGCTTCCCACCTTGGGGGGGGGGGGAGTTCTGGGAGAGAGCTGGGGTTAAGTAGGAGATCACTGGTGCAGGTGGGCTGAGGCACCGTGTTTCTGAGGAGGAGGTAACACAGAGAATCAGAGCCCATGAAATGCGCCAGAGAGGAACCAGTGCTTCAGTCTACTGAGGCTCCAGGAGCTTGAAACGTCCCAGGGGACGCAGAGCACAGAGGCTGATATTCCCCTCCCAGGGGTCCTCATCCGTAGCTGGAAGGGGATGCTCACTAGGGTGTGCAACACAAGATCTCACAGGACAGCTGTGGCAAAGCAGGGAATTGAATCTAGGTCACCTGAGCCCAGTGGCTAGTCACTGAATCACTGGACCATCCATCCTCTCTTGAGCTTGGCTTTTAGCCATGTTGAGGGAGGAAGTTGAGGAGAGGTTGTGCATCAATGCCCTTGGGAGCAATGGGGGAACGTACACAACAGCAGCCTCTGCTGCACCCTTTACAAGGGTGCAATGTGTACTCCTCCAACCGCCGGGGCTACTCCTCCTCAGGCCTCCTCTCTCTGGCACCTAGCGGGCGTCTGGGGCTGCTGTGTCCTCCACTCCCTGAACACCATGAGCAGCAAACATGAACAGGTTGTGCCTGTGCCTTTGCATTCTCTGACCCCAGCTGATTGCATTCACAACCTATTCCTGGCCATTTGCAGCTTGCTCAGTATGTGTCCACATTATCCCTCTCTCGCTCCCTGGCAGGTGCCCACTCTGCAGCATCGACCCTGTGCCAACAACTCTGCTGATGTCCCATCAAATGGAGGTGCAGTCCAGGCCCTGTCCAGATGTGCATAGTATTAACTGAAGTGGCTTTAGGTCTCTCGATGAACAAGGCCCTATTTTCTGTTCTAGTTCTGATGGCCATTTGTTGTACCTCAGACTGCGCTTTCTGGAGGGATAGCTCTCTCCCACCATGCTGTCCATGCTAAGCATCCCAGAGGATAGGAAGACCAACTCTGTAGAACGGTGTAGCCCTAACACTAAAGTACATTTTGCCTATGTACGGATGGCAGGATTGGACCCATTACTACAGCACTTGTCACAGAGGTTAAGATGTTGAGGAATCAATCTTTGACAACGTAGGAACTCGGGGGTTGCCAGAATGGATTAGACCCACATCCATCTAGTCCAGCATCCTGTCTCGGACTGTGGCCGTAGCAGCTGCTTCAGAGGAAGGTACAAGAAATGCCACAGTGGGGGCATATGTAGGACAGTATGCCCTCAGGGAATCAGAGAAATGTAGGGCTCAAAGGGACATCAAGAAGTCATTTAGACCATCCCTCATTCTGAGGCAGGATTAGGTATCCCTGGCCCATCCCTGACAGGTGTTTGTCCAACCTGTTCTTAAAAACTTCCAATGACGGGGATTCCACAACCTCCCTAGGTCACCTGTTGCACTGCTTGACTATCCTCAGAGCTAGAATGTTTCCTTCTAACCCCCAGGATTTAGAAGTTGTTTTATGCCCCAAGGCATGAGGGCTTATATCACACCCAAACCTCTTGTTGCTAGTTTAAACTCTACTATTATTATATCTATTTCATAGCAAGAGACTGAAATGAAACACAAGCCGGTTTTGTCAAACATCTCTTACTTTAATATCCCTGTAAAACAGGAAACATTTATATGTTCAAACAGCTGCAAAGATGATGCACACGTAAAAAGTGGAGCAACACAGGTTACCACCAGGATTGTCTTTACAAGTCCAATACGTTTGTTTACAGCCATGTTTGTACAAAGTCCAAAAAGTTTCCATTGTGAAACTGGTTTAAATCAGTTTAGTACAAAAAGTGAATTGTGCATTAGGTTGTGCAATTTTATCTTACATAGCAATACATGTACAGTGCAGTAAATAAAACCAAAGTGAAAGGCCAAAACCCAATAGAGGTAACAGATTTATGAACATTTGGCTAACGATGCTTGACAAATCTGTGCAAATAACGGCTACTCTAGATGCAACATGCAGAGAGTAAAACAAATTCATAATGCATGGAGAATAATGCTTTCTAGAAGGCTCAAACTCAGTTAATTCAAGATAGAATACCAGGTTCTGTTCTCATTTACAGCAGTGTAAATCTGGAGTTACTCCAATAACTTAATAGGAGTTCTGGATTTCTATCACTGTGACTGAATCAGCATCTGGCTTACGCTGTAAATTCTACTCCCAGTTACTCTTGGGTTAGCCCACTGTAGCTGGGGGGCAGAAAGGAGAAATTGACCTGGAATCTTAGAATAACTTTATAAGGATGCATTTTTCTGAAAGTCAGGCTTTTAAATTGTATTTAATGCCATATTCCTCTTCCGCCATAAATCTATCACTCTGATCCATAATAAAATGAAACAAGAGTATTTATTATCTTGTAGCTTGCAGAGTGGCTTTGTATGCAAATATCTCTTAATATTACTACTGCCTTGAAGTCAAGGAAGCAGTTTTTATACACACATTGCTGTTAATATATTTCACCACTGTGTTGCCTATTTTTAACAGAAGGTAATCTTCTGTTGCATTGCTAATAATTCTACTTCCATAAATATAACCCTCTAGGCAAACGAGTTACAATAATATCATAGCAGTAGTTTGCAATTTACAAACATGAACAAATGAACCCCCACAATGCCCCAGGCTGTGAGGTAGGTAAGATATCCCAGAGAGTTTTCCAGTTTAATGCAGATTTCAGTCTCATGGGATGAATTGGAGGGGGGGGAGGGGAGGAGAGGGGAAAGCAGGAGAGATTTGCTCAAACTGGAACTCTCAGAAAGTGAACCAGCTTTCACAAAAAAGTGTATAGTACAACAGAGCTATTTAATGTTGCTTAAGGACCAGATTCAACCCCCCTGCCCCCAAAATCAATGGAGCTTTCCATCAACTTGAACTGGAGTTGGATCAGGCCCTAAATAAGGGACTATTAGGTAGTAAATCAATGGGAAGGGAAGAATTGCATGTTTAGTGTGACAGTTATATATACACACACTCACAGAGCTGGTTTAGTAATACTTTTCTTTTGACATGGGTACAGAATGAAAGGAGCTAATGATATTTACATAGCTGATATTGCTAGGGGAAAACAGCCATCCATTCCAATTGTTGGAGCTCTGCCTGCTCTGAAAGTAGCTCACTAGAGCTTTGGGGTCATGTCCCGCCATCAACTTATTTATGAAAACTTCCACCAATGGCAGTGGGCCCTAAAGCTAGAATGATGGCAGAAAATGGCTCTAAGTTGTTCAAACAACCAGAAGCAAATGAATTGGCACCCCCACTTGAGAGCATCACTGGGAGCAGAGAATATTGATTCAAAATACAGGAGCAAAAGTCTAGAGTGACATAGGAGAGACAACTGACCTTCAACTTGAAACAGTCATGGTCTCAGAGCTTCCTAGCTGCCCCTCCGATATTAAAGCTAACTGAATACAGCTGCAGTCCTTGATAGGGTACGTTACTTCCTAGCCACCATCCAAAGTCATTCTCCTGGCCACCAATATGCTGTTACGCGGAACATCCAAATTACTCTCTGTGGCAACTTACCAGTGATGCTGATCAATTCTCAAGCCAGTGAGCCAGCGTATAAATAATTTACCAACCTACTTTATGTTGGTTTAGAAATGCTTTAGAAATCAACATTTCCTAACACAGCGCGACAAGCGAGATAGTGCACGCAGTACAGCGCCTGTCCATGCTGGTCTGACAGCCCGTTAGAATAAGTCTCAAGTAAGAGGGGAGTCTCCAAGACGAGCGGCAATAGCAGAGGTTCTTATTGGAGGAGACGGGATTCTATGGTTTCAATGTTCTGCAGCACTTGCAGCACTACTTCGTAGCAGAATAGGTACTGGTCCTGGACATGTGGAGAAAACAGCATGGAGTCACCCACTTACATTCCGTAGACACATAGAAAGGACTGCCTGGCTTGGGAGCACATCTGTAACATGAATATAATCTAGGGCTGCATGAAACTTAGGGAGAGCCTCCTTCCCCTCCCCCACCCACTCTCTTGCATTCTGTCCTCCTTAGCCTTAAGGTCAGTGCTTAATTTCTAATGAAAGAGGTACTGGGGCTCAAGCAATTTTTTTACATTCAGAACTGATGCAGCAAGCCCAGAGGTGCCGGGGCTATCAACTGCCGGGCCCAGAGGTGCTGGGGCTCTGATCTGCCAAGCCCAGCAGTGCCGAGGCTATGAACTGCCAAGCCTAGAGGTGGCGGGGCTCAGCCCTCGCAAGCCCTGGCACAAATTAAGCTCTGCTTATGGCCCCGATTCAGCAGAGCACTTGAGTACATATTTAAGTCTCATGAACTTCAATAGAAGTGAAGCATGTGCCTTGCTGAATCAGGGACGTTAGAAAAAGTTGGCCTGGTCTCAAGGTGGAGACCTTACCTTAGTCTGAATCATGCCAAATCGCTGATGCCTCAGCTCTTTCACTATCTGCTTGATGTTGAACTGTCAGGAGAGAACAGTGTTATTTCATTGCAGGCCAAGTTATTAAAAAGAATATGCTTGATGGGGAAGTGTAAGGTTGTTCCTTCCCTGCTTTAGTATTAATTATTGTCCCTACACTCAACAGGAATCAGAACTTAATACCATTTCCTTTTGAAAACCGACTTGAGTTGATTTACCCTGGGGCGAATTGGTGTCCCTTCACAAATAAACCCATGGTAAATGATTTGGTTTAGATATACTCACACATAGATCTTTTTCAATGCAGCTCAGCAAAATATCAATACAAAGCAGAACCCCGCTCCTTCCAATCCCAGCGCTGCAGTGGGCCGTTATGGGGCCCGTCTGGTGAATTTTTCTCATGTAGCGAATGAATTTGACGAGATGCTCTATCAGTCTGGGAGTACCATGATCTGGCCACGTGGTAAACTGCAAGTGTTTTACGAAGCGTCTCTCTCCTGTCTGGAAAAGAGCAATCATGAATGTGAATTTCATTGTAGGAGTTACTCCTATAAAGTCAACGAGAAAACCAAGGACTGTGGCTTCCCACGTGGAATAAGCAATAAAGAAAGAGAGACTCTGCTTTCAAGACAGATAGGGAGAGACTAGGATTAACCATTCTAAACAATCACAGAGACCCTGTGGTGCTTTAATATTTTTAAGTGCTCTGAGATCCTCAGATAGGAAGGGCTATGAAAGTGCTACAAGTTATAACAAGCCATATCCTGAAGCTTTGTAAGGACTTTGGCCAAATGTTAAAAGTATTAAAATTTCAATTTCAAGTAATCATTTTTCCTTCCTGCACAACAGGCATTTAATGTCTGATGTGCACTTTGATTTCCTCAGCAGTAATACATTGTTGCACCTGTATAAATACCCTTGGGCTCTCGGAGGTTTCACACAAGCATTAAAAAAGAATAAATAGGCTTCCATGGGTCAGTGACTGATCTTCCTTATGCCAGTGTAAATGAGATCAGCCTCTTTGGCACAGTCTACTTCTCCTCTTCATGATTTGAGCATTGGGCATCTGCACTGATTTTGTAAATCTGGCCCGTAGTTCAAAGGTAATGAGCTAAATGTGTTCACAAAGCGTACAAACAACTGCTAGGTAGAGATCTCTACTTCAGTGTTTTCCATAGTGCCTGTCGCTGTTAGCAGCCATAATGGGCATCTTGGGATACTGAAGGCGTGGATAATGGGAATAGTGCTTTGGACAAAAGACCTTCACCAGAACCTTCACCCAGAACTCAAAATTAACCTTTTGGGCTCAAAACTGTTCCATTAACTTTTGTCCACCCCATGGGATCCCTGCATCTCATGGTTCTGGCTAGGGCAGACAGTGAAATGTCCTGGAAAGACCACCCTAACTGTATTTCTATGCCAAATGGAAGCAGGAAGGACTGGACATCTTGGCCAAGAGCCTGTTCTCATCCAGCAGATTCAGGAATCTCCAAACGTTTGGACCTCACTAGAGCCCTACCAAATTCACAGTCCATTTTGGTCAATTTCACAGTCATAGGATTTGAAAAATCATAAATTTCATGATTTCAGCGATTTAAATCTGAAATTTCATGGTGTTGTAATTATAGGGGTCCTGACTGAAAAAGGAGTTGTGGAGGGTTGCAAAGGTATTGTAAGGGGGGGGTTGTGGTACTGCTACCTTTACTTTTGTGCTGCTGCCGACAGTGGCGCTGTCTTCAGAGCTGGGCAGCTGGAGAGTGGCGTCTGCAGGCCGAAGCCCAGCTATGAAGGCAGAGCCGCCACCAGCAGCAGCACAGAAGTAAGGATAGCATGGTATGGTATTGTCACGCTTACTTCTGCTCTGCTGCTGGTGGGGCGCTGCCTTCAGAGCTGGGCCCTCAGTCAGCAGCTGCCACTCTCAGGCCACCCAGCTCTGAAGGCAGTGCAGAAGTAAGGGTAGCAATATCGCAACCCCCCCTAAAATAACCTTGCGATCCCCCTGCAACTCCCTTTTGGGTCAAGACCCCCAATTTGAGAAACGCTTGTCTCCCCCATGATATCTGTATAGTATAGGGCAGGGCTCTCAAACTCAAATCACCACAAGAGCCACATGAGGACTAGTACATTGGCCCGAGGGCCGCATCACTGAAACCTTTTCATACAATGATACAAAAGTATAGTCAAAAAATGAAGAGTAATATTGTATGCTATTAAAAGTCAGTGTATTAACTTTTTAAAAACTGTAATGCAAAAAGTCAGTGCTAATTTTGACAGTCATTTCATTTTTGGCCACTTAGCTGGCAGCATTTTGCATCAACCAGAGCATCAATATTAGATTTGATATCCTGAGACAAAACCAATCTCAGTGTTGCTTGCAAATGTTCATCAGTAAGCCTTGACCTTAACACAGATTTGTTAATCTTCATGGAAGAGAAAAACTGCTCACATATATATGTACTTCCAAGCATTGCCATTATCCTTGCGGAAGCAGAGAATAACATGGGAAATCTTTCTTATGAAAGAAACCGGTAGAATTCTGGAATTCCAACATCTGTATACTTCTGCTTCAAAATGATATCACACTAAAGCTCCACTAACACCATCTGCATTTCCTCTGCAACATTGTCAATTTCCACAGCAAATGGTGTGGAAAAAAGTTGAAAATGTGGTTCAAGTGCCTTGAAATCTTTAAACCGCACATCAAACTGTTTGTGTAAGTTAGAAATGATATCTGCATATTCTTTCAAGGATTTGGGTTCAACTTTTCCTAAGGAATTCAGAATCAAGAAATGGACCAAATTGCCAGCAGTCAGCTATTTCCCCCACAAAGTAAGCTTGATTTTGAATGACTTACCACTGTCATACATCTGTGCTATCACCTGTTTTCTACCCTGAAGCTTCAAGTTCAGTGCATTCAGGTGATGAGTTACATCTGTTCGAAAAGCAAGGTTGCTGATAAAAGTGGAATCAGCAAGCTGTGGAACCTCCTTGTTTTTCATTTTCATGAAGGAATCAATTTCCTCACTAAGAGCAAAAAAATGCTTCAAAACATTTCCATGACTCAGCCATCTAACTTCAGTGTGATACAGAAGTTCCCCATATTCGCTGTCCATACATTGACTTCAGTGGAGCCAGGATTTCACTGTAAACAATTAGGGACAAATCTGGCAAACTCCTGTTGAGACTGATCTTTTGAGGAGCTGAGCATGCCCAACTGGAATTTAGGATGTTCAGCTGGTACTTGGTATATTGCAGGATGTTGCACAAGTGACATTTTTCCTGAGTAAAAATCCTGAATCTCAGGATTTGATATATGGTCAAAATTTAAAAAAAATATATAATAAAACAACAACTGGCCGACCTTTATAGCCTATAGGATTTCTATTTAAGTATGTACAATAGAGTACCTGAATTTGAATGTATCTTATTTAAGACGCTGAAGTTAAGCCAATGCATGAATTTAATTTTAATTAATAAAAATCTTAGTATGTTTGCAGACAATTCACAAACAGGAAGAAGGCTATAATGACTGAATAGTTCACCCAACTCTGCTGTCAAACAAGCACCTTCTCCTGTTATAATGAGAGCATAAATGTCCCCCCATCTGCCTCTGGCCCCACCCCCATCTCACCCCTTCCATGAGGCCCCACCCCTGCCCTGCATCTTCCCACCCCTTCCCCGTCCCCATTCCAACCCCTTCCCCAAAGTCCCCGCCCCAGCTCTGCCCCCTCCCTGCCCCTATTCCAACCCCTTCCCCAAATCCCCGCCCCGGCCCTCCTCTTCTCCACTTCCTTCCCTGAGCGCACCGTGTCCCCGCTCCTCCCCCATCCCTCCTGGAAATTCCTAAGCGCCACCAAACAGCTGTTTGGCAGTGGGAAGCGCTAGGAGGTAGGCAGAGGAGCGGGGACACGGCACGCTTGAGGGAGGGCTGGGGGGAGGGGAGTTTGGCTGCCAGTGGGTGCAGAGCACCCACTAATTTTTCTTTGTGGGTGCTCCAGCCCCGGAGCACCCACAGAGTCGGCACCTATGGCAGTCCACAGGAAATAACTCCGCAGGCTGCATGCGTCCTGCGGTCGCGTGTTTGAGACCCCTGGTATAGGGTAAAAGCACACAGAAGACCAGATTTCACAGCCGACGACCAGATTTCACGGTCCGTGATCCATTTTTCATGACCGCGAATTTGGTAAGGCCCTAGACATCACACGTGGCTGCTTCTCTGAACTGAGTGCGGATTGCCCATCAGTGCAGCCAAAGAACTGCCCCCCCCAACCCCCACAGTTGTCCTTATTGAGGACACAGATTTATAAAGGTTCTAATCTGAGCACATCCTGCAAGTGCCCTCAACACCCACTGCCGTTAAAGGCCTTCAGTCCCTGTCCTGAAAACTGTAGGGTCAGATCTACTGTTTCTGCTCAGAGCTAAGGAAAAATCATCCACTCTCATGTGCACTCGTATAATTCAGGTTTTGATAAAGCTGAAAAATAACCAGAAAATGCTACAGAAGAAACTTACTCAACGCTGCTCTAAATACTGCCAGGGAGATACAATACGTAGTGTCCGAGTCCCCCTCTTCAGGCATACAATAAAATATATTTAATTTACCTGCTTGTTAATTATTTCTATTATTCGGATGATAAAATATTCCAAGATCTGGCAGTTGTCCAGCCTCAGATGGAATTCACTGAGGTCTAGAGAGTCCTGTGGAGGTTCAGGCCAGTATCTGTGACACTTGACTTTTCCAAGCTCCACTTCTTTCGTCATCATGGCAATCACATCTGACTCATTCTCCCAAATCATTTGCCAGAAATCAGCCACAGTGCAAGGCAGAGGCCCTTGTGTTGAAATATAGAAATGTTCCTCTTCTCCAATATGCGTTCGGATGTAACTTGCATTAATATAGCCCCTGGTTGCTCCAAGAGGAACCCGTGTCGCATCATCTGGACAGATAGAAAAAGTCCTCTGAAGTTTTGCTATTTCAGCTGGAGATCCAAATTCATGTCTCTATCTAGGATCTAAGGGGAGCTTGAATATCAGGCAGTTGAATGTTGTCTCAGTGATATTCATGGTGCATTTGGCTGGCCAAGCAGCACTAATATCCCTGCTAGCAGGCAATTCCTACAATCATATTATATGATTCATCTCTTCCTGCTAAGAACTATATTGTTTCTTTAATGCACTTCTGTCACAATCTGACAAGGCTTGTAACAGGGTCTTATGGTAATAGTCCAAAACACTGCAGCTCACCCTACTGTTACCTGAACCAGTACCATATGATACTGTAAAGTTTCTATAACACAGGGAACTTAAAAAACTTGTAATATTTCTCCAATATTACAGAACACTGCAATGCAACATATCTTGTATTTTTATTCCCATTGTTACAGATTACAAAGAGGTCTGTGTGTAAATGAAAATGGCATAATGCTCTGTTAATAGTGAACATTCTGCTGTGGCAATCAAGTCTTCATTCCAGAAGCCAGCTCCGATTGGTTGTGAAACTTTTGTGCCTTGCTTGGATTGATCAATGGGGATTTGGGGTCTGCAGGTTGGATCAGAAAATATATGTTCTCTGATGCTTGGGAAAGTAGGAAAGAATTTTACCCCTTTTCGGGGGCCTCAATCATGCTGGGACAGAATTCCACTGTATCAGAGTCAGTTGACTGGCTTTAAAGCGCAGCCATTACAGTTAGGGTTAAATCTTCCTGTGCAAAATTTAGGAAGACATTCTATGGCAGGGGTGGGCAAACTTTTTGGCCCGAGGGCCACATTGGGGTTGCAACACTGTATGGAGGTCTGGGTATGGAAGGCTGTATCTCCCCAAACAGCCTGGCCCTCACCCCCTATCCACCCCCTCCCACTTCCCGCCCCCTGACTGCCCCCCTTAGAACTCCCAACCCATCCAACCCCCCCTGCTCCTTGTCCCCTAACTGCCCCCTCCTGGGACCCCTCCACCCCTAACCACCCCCTGGGACCCCACCCCCTATCCAACCCCCCTGCTCCCAGTTCCCTGACTGCCCCAACCCCATCCACACTCCCGCCCCCTGACAGGCCCCCCATGACTCCCACGCTTATCCAACCCCCCCGTTCCCCATCCCGATCGCCCCTCCCCCCCGAACCTCCACCCCATTCAACCGCCCCCTGCTCCCTGTCCCCTGACTGCCCCCCCCCGGGACTCCCCGCCCCTTATCCAACCCCCCGGCCCCGGCCCCCTTACCATGACGCTCAGAGTAGCATGTCTGGCAGCCGTGCCGCCTGGCCGGAGCTAGACATGCTGCAGCGCTGCCCTGCAGGAGCGCGCAGCCCCGCCGCCAGAGCGCTGCCCGCACGGCAGAATAGCTGTGGGGGAGGGGGAGAGCAAGGGAGGGGCAGGGGGCCAGCCTCCTGGGCTGGGAGCTCAAGGGCCGGGCAGGGTGGTCCTGCGGGCCAGATGTGTCCCGCGGGCCATAGTTTGCCCACCTCTGTTCTATGGAGACAGAGAAGGAACTAAATCCCGCATTTCACCTCCCACCTCTCCTGCACGCCTGGGGACAATGTCTGGGGAATCTAGACAGCAGCAAATTCATTGGCCTTACTCTTGCCCTACTCCCAAAAACGCACTGTAGAGGGGAAGAGCAGGGGTCCAAACCTCCTGCATGAACCCCACCAATTCTACCCACTACCTGTGTACCAGATTCCACTGTTTCTGGAGCCCACCATGACAAGAGGAGGGGCTGGATGTGCCTGCTATAACTCAGCCTACCAGCTGTTTTCCTTGGCTCCCATGTATTCTTCAAGTGTTTTTAAGGTCCTTTAGTGTACTTGCTTACATGGAAGGATATCTCGGTATCTGTTTTTCTCCCGGTTTTCTGGCGCTTTCCCAACTCGGCAGCCATCGAGCGGTTTCATGTGTTCTAAAGCCTAGATCAAAGGTAGACAATCAAGACACTTGATTTCCTGCCTCCAAAGAAAAGCTGCAGGGATAGCATTAGGACTCGCCATCAATGTATGTGACCTATGACTAGGAAACAGAGTTTTGTTTGGAATACACTCAATATGCCCTACTCTATATTTTCAGGTAGGACAGAGGCCCAAAAGCAAGGCACTTTCATTTCCCATCTTCTAAATACTTTGAGACCCCCAATGACATTCTTCAGCCCCCAAGAGTGAGTATTTCCAGGGATTTCCCATGAGATTTCAAACAAGGTCTTGAGCACGAGTGTGATAAATGAAGGGGGGGGGGGGCTAGCTCCCTTTTATGGACACCCAGCCAGCCAGCAGCTATAAAATCCCCCTTAGTAGCTGTTCTCTAATTGCCCTACCTGTAAAGGGTTAAAAAGTCTCACTGCTATGCATAGGAAAAAGGAAGTGAGTTAGCACCTGGCCAAAAGAGCCAATGAGAAGGCTAGAACTTTTTAAAATTGAAAAAAGACTCCCCTTTGTCTGTCTGTCTATTGTTCTCCTGGGAGAGGCAGACAGGGCAGCAGCTATGCTGTAAGAAGCTTGGGCCAGGTATCAAAAAGTCATCAGTATCATACCTAGAAACTACTCATTTAAAACCCCAGATATGTAAGTAGATCAGGAAATGTCTAGGAAGGCACGATTAGGTTTAGCCCTTTTATTTCGTTATGGCTTGTGGATTTCTCTGTGCTAACCCCAGGTGCTTTGGTTTTGCTTGTAACCTTTAAGATGGACCTCAAGAAAGCTATTCTTGGTGCTTAATCTTTGTAGTTGCTCTTTTAAAATCTAGCAATAGCCTGAGTTCCCAGATGTATTTTCTTTCTTCTTCTTTTTTTTTATTAATAAAATTTACCTTTTTTAAGAACAGAATTGGATTTGTGTGTCTTAAGAGGTTTGTGCACATATTGTTTAATTAGCTGGTCGCAACAGCTGATTTCCTTTTTTTCCTCTTTCTCAGCTCTTCCCCGAAGGGATGGGGTGGGGGGGTGAAAGGGCTTGAGGGTACCCTACAGGAAGAAATTCCCAAGTGCGCCTTCCTGGGCTCTCAAAGGGGTTCTGTACTTGGGTGGTGGCAGCATCTACCAATCCAAGGTCAGAGAAAAGCTGTAACCTTGGGAGTTTAATACAAGCCTGGAGTGGCCAGTATTAATTTTTAGAATCCTTGCAGGCCCCCATCTTCTGCACTCAAAGTGCCAGAGTGGGGAATCAGCCTTAACAACATGTCATTAAAGATCCCCTGGCGTGTTAGTGAAGGGCGTGTTCATTCTGGTGTCTCGGCCACATTCCAGCATGGATAATGAACAAGCTCCTGACCTAAGAAACACTTGTAGTTGCTAGCACAGAGCAGATGTCGCATTTCCACCCCAGCGGTGGCTGCATTTCAGTGATGGGGGAAGTGATATGTATAGGGCACAATTCAAAGGTAGGCAGTGTAATTTACGTGATCATAATTGTTTGTACGTAGGTATAAGGTTTAACTTGATATAACAGACACAACAAAGAACAGGAAGGTGTCAGTTAAAGTAGTTTCACTGACACCTTTTTGCACTTTCTTGTTAGTTGCTTTTCCTGTTCTACGTCTTTATCGCCATGGCGAGAGTTACACCAACTTGCACTCTCCAATACCTACTTACACCCTATTATCAACTTATATGCTACACTAGGGGTTATCAAACTTCTTTGATGCCCACCCGCAACTCCCTTCTGACAATAAAAATGACTACACAACTCCAGGAGGGGGGACTGAAGCTTGAGCCTGCCTGAGCCCCGCCGCCCTGGGTGGGGGGGGGAGGCAAAGCCCAAGAGCTTCAGCCCTGGGCAAGGGGCCTGTAACCTGAACCCTGCCACCCAAGGCCGAAGCCAAAGCCTGAGCTCTAATAAGGGTACCATGGGCCCAGGCCTCATTCAGACAAAATGCAAACTGGTTTTGAATGTGTGACCAGACCCACAGGACTCAGCTGATAGCTGCTGTAGGACACTATGGCCAAGAGTGACCTAGGGCACCCTTCTGCCTGAGTCATTGATAGATAGGAACTTCAGAGGCTGTTGGGTTTGTGGGATGATTAGCAAACACTACACACTTCTGTCAAACACCTTTGTGTTGGTGGGATGTTGTTACCGGACGGCAAGAGCTGGACAGGAGGTAAAAGGAACAAAGGAACATATAAAATAGGAATTACCAAGGAGACCAAGGACAATTACCAGATTCTTCAGAGGAAGGTCCAACCTTCTAACAGACAATTATAGAATAACTTGTCCGTAAGGGAAGTTTATGCCTAGCCCCCATCGGTCAATGGTTGGCTTATGCTCTGAAGCAGGAGAGTTTATAACTTTTATCATTTTTATCCCAGCTATTGTAACTTTGCATGTTCTTATTATCCATAGAAGTGTCTGATCGTCTTTTGAATTCACAGAATCATAGAACTGGAAGGGACCTTGAGAGGTCATCTAGTCCAGTCCCCTGCACTATGGCAGGACCAAGTATCATCTAGACCAGGGGTCGGCAACCTTTCAGAAGTGATGTGCCGAGTCTTCATTTATTCACTCTGATTTAAGGTTTCGCGTGCCGGTAATACATTTTAACGTTTTTAGAAGGTCTCTTTCTATAAGTCTATATTATATAACTAAACTATTGTATGTAAAGTAAACAAGGTTTTCAAAATGTTTAAGAAGCGTCATTTAAAATTAAATTAAAATGCTGATCTTACACCACCAGCCTGCTCAGCTCGCTGCCAGCCTGGGGTTCTGTTCACCTAGGCCAGCAGCGGGCTGATCAGGGCCTGCGGCTGGGACCCCAGACTTGGGGGGGGGGGATGTTTCAGGGGTCAGGGCAGAGGGCTGGGGTTCAGGGCAGAAGGCTGCGGTGTGTGTGTGTGTGGGGGGGTCAGAGATCAGGGCAGAGGGCAGAGGGCTGGGGGGGTGCAGGGCAGAAGGCTGGGTGTGGGGGGGGTTCA